ATATTGAAACAAAAATTATCATGCAACCACATTTAATAACTGAATGTATACACATGTTTGTACGTGCATTTCTTGCTTAGCCACTTGGCCCGAAGAAAAACAAAAATACTTTCATCCAATAAAAACTACTTTTTAAGTTGGATCATTCGCATTAGAATTCATAAAAAAGTAAAAAGGCAAAGAAATAGAATGAACTTAGCTATGTTTATTTTCTGTTGTTTTTTCTTTAACAATAATTTCCATACAAAATTACCCCACCCACTTTCACAAAATATAAAACCTACAGATTTAATGTTTTTCTCACATTTCTTTTACAATAAACACATGATATTAATGGAATGTCAAATACAGTTTAAGATATAAAGTAACTTTTTTAACTTTGTACATTAATTTAGAAAATCAAACTTGAAAAATATGAAAAAAATGGATTTTTTCTTGATCTTTCTAAAAGATATTTCTAAGAAAAAAGCTTTTAAAATGTTTTTCTTTTATTGAGATTAACATATAATTTGATTATCTCTGATATGCTTAAACACTTTTTACTATAATAAACATAATTTGTGCAACAAATTATACAATAAAAATGATATAACAGTTTTGCACAAAATCGACGGCCATATTGGACGCCATCTTGGATTTGGAAGAGGTATGAAAGAGAAATTTTGTAAGATTTAAATTTTTGAAAAAGAGAAACTATATGCATGCTTTTTGTGTTAGTTAAAGGTCTGTACCAAAAATTGGAATGATTAATGAGCTAGTATGTACGTCAAATGTATATGGCGGCCATTTTGAAAATGGCGGCCATCTTGAATGAGCAGAGATATTTTTGGGCCCACTTCACTTTTGAAATCTACATGGTCTAAAGATGATTTCCTGAAAGTTTCCTGCTTGTATCACAATTTGCACTATTTTCTCAATTTCCCTCCCCACTAGTAAAAAAGATGGAGGACTTGACATGATAGTTAAAATGCCTTAATATCTGCACTAAAAACTACTTGGATTAGAAAAATCATTATGAGCAAAGGAAAATGGCTAGATATTGTTTCTTAACTAATAGATATAAATTAATTGTTAAAACAATAGCGAAATCCTGTAGAAACTTATATTGAGAAGTTACATATAAGATAAATGCTTTTGTTCATTATGTGAAAAAATGTCCAATGTTCTGATTAGTTGTTGGATTATCCATTATTTTATAACCCAAAGATATTGATTGGTAAAAAATTATATCTTTAAAGTCATTGTTTTATGCTGGTGTTCAGTGTATAGGTGACTTGTTTAACATGAAGGGATCCATGAATACAATAAAATTTATAGCTTGAGTGCTTATTCTTTTGCATTTTCAAGGTATAAATCTATTATCTTAAAAGTGCTGGTTATTCTGTTAGTGGGTTGAAAAATGTTTCAAGACCTTTTATTCCACCAATACTATCTCAAATTTTAAAAAAAAAGAAAAAAATTCACAACCGATGCATTATATATTAAAATATAATGTACAGCTGTTTGTAAACTTATATGGTAATACTAAATTTGAAGATGAAGAATGAAACAATTTTTTTCACTTATATTTGATATCACTAAAAACACGATTGTACAGTAGTTTCAATAGATTACTTGGCACAAAGAACTTTTGTATAAGATAAAATACAAAGATAATACAAACTGCAGTTTTTGTAACGCTTGGAATACCTCTTTTGGGACTGTGAAGTTGTTTTTGATATGATTCGTGGTCTTTTTGAAAATACTCATTTGCATTTGACAAGAATGCAATTTCTTTAAGGCATACAAAATGCAGATTATGAAACAAGTCTTTTTGCTTTTATTTGTAAAGAAGTACATATATCATTGTAAAATGAATTTTAAAAAAACCGTCTATAGAGGTTGCTAAGCATTATATTATGTTTATATACATTATACTACAGGCTTCAAATATATATATAGAAAAGTATAGAGGTGTTTTACATTAATCGCAGGCTTCTTTTATTTATTTCATTTTATGTTATTTTTTATGAAGCATTGTTCGATTTAGATACATGTATCTTTGTATGTATGTCTGTATGTATGTAATTATCTATGTTCAAAATAAACGGGGTTACCTTTTAAGGGTCTAAAAAAAGAGAATTATTATACATTGCTGCAATTGTGTTGGTTCAAACAGTAGTCAACAGAACATATTAATATTATAAAATCACATTCACTGAGTGTAGTATCATATTCACTAGCTGAATAGGTTGTTCCGAATCTAAAAATAGAACCTGTCTCATATCAAATAACCTTTCAACAAAGATAATTAACTGCGCGTGCGTTAATTATATTCACCGAGTGAATATGATTTACGCATGCGCCGTTATCACTTGCACTGGCTGAATTTGACTTCCTCTATCTAAAATAGAAACAGACTCATAAATGACCTACAGACTTGAGTATATATTTAATGTTTCATTTTGTCCTTGATGGCATGTTTTGCAATTTAAAACTATTTACTCAACAATGACAAGTAAGAAAGTAACACCGCAAGTATAAGTATATTGATATCTTGTTTATAATATCGGGCTTTACTTTTTTTAATCTTAGGTTGATCATATAATAAAATAATAATTGACTAAATAAATGATTCATTGAATATGGTGTGATATTCACCGGCAAAATGTCACTACATTCCTGCAGGTAAATTATTAATTATTTACCCACTGTTTGCGTAGGTTTATTGAAACCTTGATGAACTTGTGATAAATATTATATATATAATTATTCTCAGGAGAAGAAGAACAGATATTTACCAGAGATATTATGATCCAGTACATTAATCAAATAAAACTTTGTGTTTATAATACTGAACTATTCTGCTCCGAGCATTGAAAATATTATTAAACTTTTTTTTTCTAGATAGAACATAAATTATATTTCTGAAGGGGAAAAATAATTATTGAAATAAACGAATACCAAAACGCATTTTGAAAGAAAATTTAAAGTGAACTGGTCCATAACGAAATGCCTGTGATAACATAAATAATTATATTGAAAGTATTCAGTATCGTACATGGCACAAAACCATGAATGAATTACATATGATGCCGGTAAGTGTGTCCGCAAGAAAACTACATATGTGTACGCTATTATCTACGTTACGTCTTACCGCGCTATTTGACGTCAACGTCACTTCTGACGTATGTTGTTATTGTTTATATATTACTGTTGAGATTTTGTACACATTGAATCGAGAGTCAATACAGATCGAACCTACACAACGCCTTTGTATTATTTACTTCCATATACGAAATCACTTCCACATTGGTGCCGTTTGTATAGCTATTGACTAATCATGAATCTACAGAAGCTTTTTTCAACAAGAGAAGGTCATCGCAGAAATTGTGCAGAGAAAATTAGCCGCAATTGATCAAAATGAGGAAATGTCATCTCTAGAAATTTCATCACTCATAGATTATCTGACAGAGAAAGCTACGATAATCAAAGGATTTGAATGAAAAAATCATAAATCAGTGTGACGATATTGAAACAGAAATCGTGGAAAGTGAAGAAATATTCATACGATTTGGATCTGAGGATTCAAAAGTTAAGTGAGACTTACCGGAAACATACTCAAGACTTTACAAACAATAGTTCCGTTGATCAAGAAGAAAACCCTATGGTACCGCGACATACGAGTTCGAGTACATTTGCGCAACATAAACTTCCAAAACTTACCATACCTAATTTTGACGGAGATCTTACCAACTGGCAGACTTTCTGGGACTCTTATGAGTTCATCTATTCATCTGAATTCTACGTTATCGACGTTCAGAAGTTCAACTACTTGCGATCTCTGGTTCAAGGTATAGCAGCACGGTGTATAGACGGGTTTCCTTTGACGAATGCGAACTATTTAAAGGCAGTGAATCTACTAAGGGAGCGCTTCGGACAACCACAGAAGATAATTCATAGATACATGCAGTCCTTGCTTGAACTTCCAAGACCTAGCAACAATGTAGTAAGTTTACAATGTTTTTATGATAAAATGGAAACTTTTATCAGAGGTTTAGAATCACTTGGGCAGTCACAGGAATCTTACGGTAGCTTATTAATACCAATAATCTTAGAGAAGTTACCAGGCATAATGAAGCAAAATATGGCACGTGAACATCGCAGTGTAAACTGGGAATTACAAGAGTTAAGGTCAGCTATCTGTAAAGAAATTTCTTTCATGGAAGCAGGTATTTCTACTAGTGATATTATCAACCGTGAACCTGATGTTCATATTCCCACAGCGTCATTCTTTACTGGAACCAGACAAAGTACAAATGAACGTAAAAATGAACGTAAGAAAGACGTCAATTTTCGGAAAATTTTCAAGAAAGTTTGTCCCTTTTGTAATGATGAACATTCCCCCAAACGAGTGCAGAAAGGTTACATCATATGAATCGCGTATAGATATTGTAAAAAGAGAACATTTGTGTTTTAACTGTTTACGGAAACATCAAGTATCGGCATGTCGTTCCACAAATAGATGTCGTCACTGTCAGCGCAAACATCATTCAAGTATCTGTGACAAATCTGCCAAGCAATCAAACTCAAAGCTCAATCCCAATGCCGCAAGTTTCACCATACCAGCTACTTCCGGTGTTTCAAATCAACCCGAAGCTGCAATTCTACACTCTACCACTCAGCTAAGACATGACGTTCTTCTGAAGACAGCCGTTGCAAAGATATGTTTTAACAGCGTTTCAATGGAAACAAATATTCTTTTTGATGAGGGAGCTCAGCGTTCTTTTATCACTGAAGAATTAGCGGAGAAACTACAAATTGAGCAGACCGGAAGTGAAGTCGTTCATTTAGCATCGTTTGGTGATACTAGCCAAAGAGTACGACACATGAGGACAAATGTTGTATACAACTTATTACAGACGACAATGAGAAAATATGCATTGATGTTTTGATTGTTTCAAAGATAGCCGTACCGCTGCGAAATATTAATCAGAATATATTAGCCCTCCCATACTTGCATGGTTTTAAAGCTAGCTCATCCAGTTACAAATGACAGAGATTTTGAGATATCGTTACTGATTGGAGCAGATTCATATTGGAAAATTGTTCAAGATAAGGTAGTCCGAGGGAATGGTCCAACAGCGGTGCAGTCGAGACTTGGATATCTTTTATCCGGTCCACTTCCGGTTTCCAACTTTCCAGCGTCAATACAACACCAACTTCCGGTTTCTACACTTACAGCGTCCACATCCCAACAGCCTCCAGTTCCCGCACAAGAAACGTCCACCCATTTGTTGAACATTCTAACGTCCTCCCCAGATTCCTTTGATATTGAGAGATTTTGGAAGCTTGAGTCTCTTGGTATATCTCAAGAAGAAAGAGAACCCTGAGGCTACATACCTAGAAAACTACCAGCGTGATTCTATCACCTACAATAACGGACGTTTACACAGCCAAACTGCCTTGGAAAGAAGATCACGCTATCTTACCAACGAATTATGACATCACCAAGAAACGCACTGAAAACGTAATCAGACGTTTACGTCAAGATCCTAGTAGTCTACAAACGTATGGAGAAATAATCAATGATCAAGAAAAGAGAGGTTTTATTGAGAAGGTAGACGAAGGTATCACACCCCAACACAAGATACATTACATTCCCCACCACGGCGTCAAGAAAGACTCAGTCACAACACCGATACGCATCGTATATGATTGTAGTTGTCATCAGTCACGTAACCAACCAAGCTTAAATGACTGTTTGAAGTCTACGCCACCAGAGCTTAACGATCTTACTCAAATTCTTATCCGTTTTCGGTTACATAGATATGCTGTTACTACTGACATAGAGAAGGCTTTTCTACAAATACAGCTTGCAGAAGAAGACAGAGATGTAACAAGATTTCTTTGGTTAAGTGACACCAAAAATCCCGACAGTACTTTGATCACCTACAGGTTTAAAGCAGTTCTGTTTGGTGCAACATGTTCCCCGTTCATTCTTAATGCAACGATTTTAAAACATCTAGCAAGTAACAGTGATGTATGGGTCAGTAGTATTTTAAGAAGAGATTTGTATGTGGACAACGTTTTGTCAAGCTTTGAAGATGAAAACCAGGCACTTGCTTACTTCCATGATTCACGAAAGCTTATGTCGTCTGCAAACTTTAACTTACGCTCTTGGAATTCAAATAGCCAGAAACTACGAAATTTAGCCTTAAACTACGACGTACAAGATAGAGATAAAATCACAAAGATACTTGGAATGCGATGGAATACAGAGACAGATATGTTGACTTTCCAACAAACCTATATACCTGTCACAGATACTACAACGAAACGAGAAATCTTGCGACAGACGTCAAAAATATTCGATCCTCTTGGTCTACTTAGTCCGGTTACGGTACGTGCTAAGATTATATTGCAACAAATTTGGGAAGAAAAGTTTGATTGGGATACTCCACTTCCAGCAAATATACAAAAGAGGTGGAAAAATCTTGCTGCAGATTTGACTACACTATCCACCACACAATACAGACGTTGCTTTTTCCCCGGAGCAGACGAGAAAATTAGACAAGCAGACGACCATTCACATACAACCTTGCACGTGTTTGTAGATGCTAGTCAGTCATCATATGGAGCTGCCAGCTTACCTTTCCAATGGTCAAAATTCATCACTAATTATGGCAAAGAATCGTGTGGCACCTCTTAAAAAACTTACGTTACCCCGACTAGAATTAATGTGCAGCTGTAAATAGGTGCTCGACTTTTAAGCCACATAAAGAAGACATTAAAACACACAAATTTCTATCTTTGGTCAGACAGTCAGATTGTTTTACATTGGTTAGAAAACAGTTTAAAACTTTACCCCGCTTCGTGAGGAACAGAGTCGAAGAAATACAAAAACTGACCGGGGACCGGAAATGGAAATACTGTCCAACCAACTTTAACCCAGCAGATTTACTTACCGTGGTATAACAGCGACCCAGTTTGTCAATAACAGCCTTTGGCAATATGGACCATCCTGGATCAACAATCAATCAAAATGGCCTACATGGAATCCAAAAAGATGCAACAGTACTTACAGCTTCCTTATATGACACTTCCGGTCATGAAACCAACACTTCCAGTCCAGACCCTAGCACTATCAGTTACTGTTACCACAACTAACGAGCAAGGCATTCATAGAGTTATTATATTGACAGATTCGGTTCATACCAGAAACTATTACGTGTTACTGCATATGTGATGAGATTCATACAAAACAGCAAACGTTCTAAAAAGAGACTCGAACCCCTGTCCCCCAATGAATTACTTCAAGCTGAGAAATTATGGCTAATAGACTGTCAGTCCAGTACTTATCCAGCAGAGATCAGCAACATGAGATCAAGTAAATCCCGCTCACAGCTTGTCAAAACAACTTCGACTATTTTTAGATAACGATGGCGGAATCCGTTGCGGAGGTCGAATTCACAATGCCCCACTGGTCGAGAGTTCGAAATTCCCTTACCTGTTACCATCAAAACATAAGTTGACCCGTTTGATTGTACTTCATTGCCATCAAAAAATACTACATGCTGGAGTAAATTCTACAATTACTTATATACGACAGAAGTTTTGGATACCTGCTATTCGTCAATGTATAAAGACAATTCTTCGCAAATGTGTCACTTGCCGGAAGGTAGTTGGCCAAGCATACTCATCCCCAGATCCTCCTCCATTACCCAGATATCGAGTAGGAAGATACAGTGCCATTTACAGTGACAGGTGTAGACTTTACAGGCGCACTTTATGTCAGAACTAAAGACGGAATTGAAACAAAAGCATATATTTGTTTATTTACGTGTGCCTCCACACGAGCGGTGCACTTAGAAACTCGTGCCAGATTTGACAGAAGACTCCTTTCTACAAGCATTTAGAAGATTCAGCAGCCGAAAATCTTTACCACATGTCATGATCTCTGATAATGCTTCAACATTTATGGCTGCATCCAACCATATAACACGTTTGTTCGAGTCCCGACATGTACATCACACACTTACCAGTCATGGTACCACATGGAAATTCATTCCTAAGCGTGCACCTTGGTATGGAGGATGGTGGGAAAGGTTTGATTGGACTCACAAAGACAGCACTCAAGAAAACCCTAGGCCGTACCTACGTTACATATACGACTCTTTGCAGGGACTGTCATAACCGAGATAGAAGCCGTTATGAATGACCGTCCGTTAACATATGTCTCGTCCGGCAATCGCCCAGAACCAGAACCATTAACACCAGCCCATCTTTTATATGGTAGACGCATTACTACATTACCGTATCATGACACTGTTGATGAAACGGACCTAAGTTTGAGCCTTGGGAAACAACAGAACATTACACAACGTGCCAGAGTTCAGATTAAAATCATAGAAGACTTCCGTAAGAGATGGAGACATGATTACCTAACTGCTCTTCGTGAACAAACATCGTACATCCGGAAAAAATAAAAATCCATATCAGTTGGTGACGTAGTACAAGTTCACGATGACGTACCACGTGCACAATGGAAATTGGCGGTCGTGAACAACTCGTGCCCGGGAGAGATGGACTCGTTCGGTCGGCGAAAATTAGAACAGACAGTGGTGTTACCAATAGACCGATAGTGAAACTTTTTTCCTTTGGAAGTTACAGAACTTTAACTATGAAATTATATTCATACAAAGTGACTCTTTTAAAAAACTGTATTTTAAAGATTAATAACCATAATATTTTTGCCAAATGAATGCTTAGAAACGATACTTACTTATTTAAATTACTCTTTGATATTGCTGATAAGTTATTTCTGAACATACTGCTTAAATATTCTTTATCTTTGTGTAATAAGTGTTAAACATTTCGCGGCCCCCCAGTATTCGCAAGAAAACTACATATGTGTACGCTATTATCTACGTTAACGTCTTACCGCCTATTTGACGTCAACGTCACTTCTGACGTATGTTGTTATATGTTTATATATTACTGTTGAGATTTTGTACACATTGAACGAGAGTCAATACAGATTCGAAAACCTACACAAAGCCTTTGTATTATTACTTCCCAATATACGAAATCACTTCCACAAAGTGCAAGATACATGATCCGATATTCAATATATTGTAGATTATAATGTTTCATGGACAGAGCATTTTTTTAAGCATAAGGATGTTCATATTGAACCACTTGGATTGCTATCAACATTTTTTTTCCAAGACATATTTTATAAGAATATTCAAACGATACATTTTTTGGGTTTTTTTTTGGCCAAATATTTGTAATATTTATGAAAATTGTGCCCATTGTAGATGGCACACAAAGCACTTAGTAAGTAATGAATTTAAGTTTTTCTTTAAAAATGCAAACCTGTGTTAAATCATCTTTTGTCAAATCAGTAACGTGAAGATAGTAGCATTAAATGTATAAAAATTTAGCATATACGAAGCAAAGCACACACATAGTGTTATTTTGTGTTTTATACTTAATACTGAATCATTATCACTTACTTTACTTTACCAAAAACGGAAATTGGTTCAGATGTATCAGCTCTATGCTTAATGAGTACAGTTTTCGAACAAGTGACCTTTTATAAAATAAATGTCATGTTTTGTTTTTACTTCTTTATGTATCTATTTTTGGGATAGGGTGGAGGGTGGAGGGGCTTAAAACTGCATGCCACTAGGTGAGTCACATATTTCAAGAAAATCAAAAAATGTAAAAAAGTAAAATTCTAGATTCAAGTAATAGTTGACATGGAATGTGCAATTAACGACTGATTTTGCAGTATTTATCGCCATATTTCTACTGCGTAAGTGATGCTGTCACGGTTTTTCTTCTCCATGCTATGGCCTCTTTCTGAATGATTGTAAGTGCTGATTGCAAATGTGTTGACAGTACAAAATTTTCTTTTTAAGTTATCTTTTTTCTTTTTTTAAATTTTTGTGAAAAATAAAATTAATCTGGAGGCAAGTTGCTTTAATGAGTATTTAGAAGAAGAAAAAAAACGTGCTCATTCACAGCGGCGGTTTAGATTTTTTTTGAAGTAGTATGTTATGTATTTTTGGCGCTACATAACATCATTACGGTTTATAAAGGATTTCTTTAAGCTTTGACTTATTGCATGATGATTTTTGTTGTTGATTTTTTTAAATAAAATAAGAATAAAATAAAATGAAAATACGGTCTACTTTATTGTTAACTGTACCCAAGTATCCTGTTTGAAATATATGTTATTGAAGAAAGTTATTAAATAAAGATACCTGAACGTACTATATAAGCAATACATACCAATACATTAAGGTTCCTTTTTCGGTAGCACATATTTACAAATGATCCCATTTCATTATAGAAATCATAAAATTATTTCTTATAACAATCTGTCACTCTCCTACTATTTACTGTCAATTACTGAGCAGCCTTCGTTCTTTGTTCAATCAAGCGGAATTATGAGGAAGCTATTACTAATTAATTAGGCATTAATGGGGCATTCTACGCAGCATCTCCTAGTAACATGCCTATCATCACATCTACAATTCATGCATGATATACGGCCGTATTGCTTGATGCCAGTTGTTCCCAATGCCCCTTACGTATGGACTACAAAATCCTCGTTACGTTTGATACGACGGCGATCAAAGACCGACATGAAATAAAATATTAAGGATAAATATTATAAAGTACAAAAAAGTACTTGGCTGTGTATGACAAAGTTTGTTCATTTTATACCTATGCCATAGTTGCAAGACCGTCAAGTGGTATTGCACCGCCATGCGTATACTCTGCGTTACATAAACGTGGTGTAAAGACGCTGTGAACATTTACGTTTTATTATCGGCGCCTCAAAGTAAAAAGGCTATTTTTTACAACTGTTAACAGTTCTTATTTTTTACATGTGTTAAGCATGATAGTATAGTATATTCGCATAGCTTCATTTCTAATTTTATGTAATATTTATATCAAACGAGCTAGTTTTGACGATATAATACTGGCTGGGGCGACATCGAGGGATGTTTCTGCGTAAAAGAAAATGTCGAGACCGTTAGGCGGAGACGCTGTTTTTATTACAGAAACCTTTGAACAAGGGACCAGAGTAAACTGTTTCTTGGAGTCCATGTAAGGAGAATGAGTTCACGTGAATTATTCTAAAATAGAAGATCTGCAAATCCAGAAACAATCATGCTAAAAGTATTCAGTATCATACGTGAAAACAAAAGTGTTGTGTACAAATCCGATATGACATATCAATATATAAAAGATATAAATGTTTTCTAGAACAGTATATTATTATTCATCTCATAAATACTCATTTCATTTTAGATCCCTTTAGAACTCTATCAAGATTTTATTTTGGCAGAAATATTTCATAAGAATATCCAAAAGATACATTCTTGTTATCAATGTTTACAATATTTATTGAAAATGTGCCCTTTGTATACCAATCCACTTTAAAAACCACCAATGACAAGACAACTAATTTTATTTAGATTTGTATATTTTACATAAAATAAAACTCATAACAAGCAGAAGCTTCCTTCGGAATAGAAATGTATTTTTCCCGGCCGGAAAACCGTAGAAATCGATAAACTAAATCAAATCTATCGATTATCTCACGATATTGGCAATTTTAATTTCTTTCTTGAATAATTTATCAACAAAGAGAAATATATTAACCTGAACATTCTTGGATGCACAAGAAAA